CTATAAGTGAAATTATCTTACTATAGAAATTAGGTATGCAAGAAACGAATCATTTTCAAAATTCTCAAAAAGAGAACGAGAAGAAATTCTTCATTGAGCAAACACATAAAAGGAGAAAAAAGGAGAAAATGCAAAATAAGAATTCCATGCTAAAAGAAATTACATGAATTCAAATAAGGAAATATTCAATATAATTCAAACAAGGAAACGTTCAGACGAGTGACATTTACTATTTATCTGCAAATTGTAACATTCTTCTTGTAATGCAATATCATATCTTTTAAGTATTTCATCCAATGAGAAAAAGCACAAAGTTCAATCCAACAACACCAAATGGAGTGATAAGAGATCAAGAGAGAAATTAGATTCATACATAGAGAGTGTAAGAGTTTATTTTATTTTATTTTTTGACACAGGTTGATCGATGATTTTAAGTAGATTACTAATGAGTAGAAGGATAGCCCGAACCTTTAGACTTGGGGGATTTTTAAGGGCTTCAAATGGAAGCCTAAAGGGTAATAAAAATCCCAAGATACTTCAACATACATTATTGTCTAAGATGTTTCGCGCTTTACACTTGACTTCCAAAGGCACGACTTTGGAAATGGTTATCACCCCTCCTCCTCCCGCCATGTCAACAAACTCCTTGCCCACCCTTTTCCACTCAAAACATTGGATCAATGAGCCCAGAGTTAGGCCCATGATTCGTTGGGCCAGCCCGACCCCTGGGCAGGCCCTTCTTCCCATTCCAAAGGGCAATAACTTCTGCACTTCCACTTCTCCACCTTCAAACCTCTCAGGTTTGAAGCTGGTGGCATCGTTCCAAATCTCAGGGTCCCTGTGAACAGCCCAAGTATTCACCAATACAATTGTGCTAGGTGGCACATTAAATCCTCCGATTGTGCAATTTTCCGATGACATGTGTGGAAGTAACAAAGGTACCGATGGAAATAACCGAAAGCTCTCCAAGATGACAGCACGAAGGTAATTCAATTTAGACAGATCAGATTCATTGATCAAGCGTTCTTGGCCGACATGAGCGTCAATCTCGACTCTTGCCTTATTCAACACCTCCGGATGGTTAAGTAAAAGGGCCATTGTCCATTCCATTGCCACTGCCGTAGTGTGAGGACCCGCAAGAATCATGATCTATGCATGAAGATTTATTAGACAAAAATGAATGACAAGGTTAATAATTTGCTACCCAAATGTCCAGAATGACAAATTTGGACATCCTTTAAAAAAAAATCATGAAAGGAAATTATTTTCAAATTTAAACCTATTTCACACCCAATACTCTCAACATACCTATATTCGAAATTAATAATTTTAACAACATTATATCTGTACTAAATATTAATTTTAATACTGATATAAAAAATGTTATGATTTCAAACTTCATAAATTAGTAATTAATATCAAATAAATACTTAATCTGTGCTAATTCTTTTGTGATCACAATTAAATAAACTTTTCAAGAGTTTAATATTTATACATTATTTAATTCAAATATTTTTTTGACAATCTTTCACAATATTTTCACTAATAATAAATAAAATGGGTATTATTAAAATATTAAAAGTGATAATGACATATAGAACAATTTAAATTTTGAGAAAAATGCAATATGATAAATTGATAATATTACAACCATAAACAGACGAGATAGAGTAAGATGAGTAGTTATACTTTCTTGTTAAAATTTATTTAGAAATTAATGGATCTAACAAAATGAGATTAATGCAATTAAATCAATGAAAAATAATTAATTGAATTACCATGATAAATGCTCTGATAGTTTCATCAGTATAGAACTCTGGCTCTAATTCCTGCAAGGAAAGCAGACGATCAATCATGGAATTGTTGCTCTTATCGCGCCGGTGCTCATCTATCAAACCCTGCAGAAACCGATCTATCTTCCCGTGACTTCTAGCCATAGTCTTCTCGAAATTCGCGTAATCGATCCACCGCAGAATCGGCAAATAATCGTTCAGTCCCGAGAAGGGGCTGGCGGAGAATAATTCTCTCACCAGCTCCTGGAACTCCTTGGCCTTCACGTTGTTGTCGAATTCGTCGCCGTAGTAACGCTTCCCGACGAGTATTCTCATGACGATGTTAAAATTGAGCCCCAAAAACTTTGATTTGAGCTCAATTTTCGCGAATTCGTTAGAGGAGATCTTGTGCAGGCCTTGGAGTAGAAATTTAATTTCGTCTCGACGAATGGATAAGGACGAACTGAGCTGCCTCGGGGAGAAGAGTTCCACCGCCATGATTCGCCGGAGGTTGCGCCAGTGATCGCCGTAGGGGGTCACCGAGACGCCAGTATAGTTGTAGCCGAAGTACTTGCCGCCTAAAAAGCGAGGGCGGTTGGCCAGGACTACGTCGTTTTTAGTGAAACATTCCTCCACGGCTGGCGACGTGGACACAACAACTACTAGGTGGGAGCCGAACCGGAGGGAGAAGACCGGTCCGAGTTTTTGGGCGAGTTCCTGGAGGAATCGATGCAAGGGCTTCTTCACGAGATGGAGGTGACCGATGACTGGAAGACCCGGAGGGCTCGGAGGCAGGTTTCGCAGGCGATGAGATTTTTGGCTGGAGATGAAGGTAATAGCAATGACGAGAAAGACAATAGTGAGGGATGAGTATAGCAAACTTGCTTCCATGTCTGATCAAGTTGATTTGTAATGACTGGAAGGAAGTCGCTGAGACGGTAAGCTGATATAAATTAGAGAAAGGATGGTGCCAGCCCGTCGTTACCCAAGACGACGGACAATTTCCGAACTACAAAATTGGAAGACGTCAGCTATGACGACAAGCAGAAGACACCTGTGCGTGAACATTTGTTTTGATGTCGAAAGTTTTTTTAAGAAAAAATGTTAATTTTTTAACATTTTTTATAAAATAACAAAAAAAATGTTTCAAGATCATCAAAAATGAAAAACACGTGAAAGATAAAGCTGTCAACATTTTAAATTTTTTCTATTTTAAGTTACACGAAACCAGAAAAAACATTAGTATACTAGATTTGTGAAGTTTGGTAAGTCGTTTGACTTATGTCTTGCTGGTCACTCTCACTTGCGCAGCCAAAGCTGAAGTAATGCAAGTATTCATGGAGGAGTTGGGTGGTCATTTTCAACTAAGCCTAGTTCAGAGAGTTTAAGATATTACACTAGGTGCAAAACAAAAATCTCAAGGAGTTCAAGTAGTTACGACGTAAGGGAGTAAGGAGGTTTAGGCAGATACCCGGAGTGTGTTGGCAGTTTTAGAGTGACACCAACATGAGGCAAGCCTTGAGAATCCAGTACAAGATGTTCTCAAGTTCAAACCTCTAACTTTTTCTAGATGACGGGATGCTACTTGGCTTGCAAAAAAGAGATCAACCTAAACAGGAGTAGCAGTCAAAGCTTGTGCCTATAAGATATCCATATTTTGGTCTCAAACCTCTATGGGCAATTTACTCATGGGGTGGGGGGATGAGATACTTTCTTAGACTATCATCGGACGACAAGAGCTCTGCAAAGATCCATACACTAGGGTTCCATGTCACTATTTCCTCATTACAAAATCATTTTCCCAAAACTGGACTCGATTAAAATTAGATGGTTCAGACTAGTTTGATTTCTTGATTGTCTAGTTCAAGCCAATTTTTGGTTTGAACCTAAAATGTGAATAGAGTTAGTGAAGGGTCTTTTGCGTTTCTCTTTTATTTTAGTTAAGTACTCCAGTTTCTTATTGTCTTAGGAGTTTACTCTGCATCTTACAGTTTTCTTCAATTATGCCATTGATTCATTTGATTTTTTTCAAATCAATCCCTAGATTTGCTCCTAACTATTGATTTGCTTGAATGGGTTCCTAGGTCCATTTAAAGGGATAATTTTCAACACATTCGAAAAAAATCCTTGCTTGCTTTAAAATATCTCCACCTTCAAGAATAAGTGCTAACAGCAAAGAATCCCTAAGAGGAAAAAATGTTGAAATAAATTACTTTATAAGCATTTTTTAGAGGGTTCATAAAAGTGGAGATGTCTCTCAAGATTGGAATGAAGTGAAGCAGATTACCATCAATTCAGATATCAATTTGAAGCAATAGAAGTTTCCTCCAATTCTAATAGACAATTCAGCACATATGCATTTAGTTACAATGCAATAATGCACTATTTTCAACTAGAAAAATGGGACATTCATTAACTGTCAAAAGAGATGACATGCCATTAAATTCTTTGTTAGACAACTTTTTCCCTTCTACAGTGACAGAAGAATGCAACCATGCTTGACTTTGTACAGAAAGGATGAAGTAATAAAAGAAGTCCTGACTTTCACCAATCATGTTTTTAATCTAAACTTTTAGCACTTTATGATAATTCGTGTGAATGTAATACTCTAGCTATATTGATCAAGTTGACATGGTTTCTCCAACTTCTAGGAGTATATATAAGTGAAGTTATCTTAACATAGAAATTAGGTATGTAAGAAACGAATCATTTTCAAAATTCTCAAAAGGAGAAAGAGAAGAAATTAGCTGTTGGGCAAGCACATAAAAGGAGAAAAAAAAAGGAGAATATGCAAAATAAAAATTCTGTGCTAAAAGAAATTACATGAATTCAAGTAAGAAATATTCGATATAATTCAAGTAAGCAAATATTCAGACAAGTGACACCTACTATTTATTTGTAAATTGTCATATTCTTTTTATAATATAATATCATATCTCTTAAGTATTTTATCCAACAGAAAAATGCACAAAGTTCAATCCAACAATCCCAAATAGAGTGACGAGAGATCAACTATGAGACAGTGTGCTCAATCAAGAGAGAAATTAGATTTATATATAGAGAGTGTCGATCAATGATTTTACTTTATTTTATTTTTTTTTGGTATAGGTTGATCAAGCATTTTAATGTATTACTAATGAGTAGAAGGATAGCCTAAACCCTTAAACTTGGGGGATTTTTAAAGGCTTTATACAGAAACTAAAAGGAGAACAAAAATTTCAAAATAATTCAATTTACAATATTGTCCATGATGTTTTGTGCTTTACACTTGACTTCCAAAGGCACAACCTTGGGCACAGTTATCCCCTCCTCTCCTGCCAAGTCAACAAGCTCCTCGCCCACCCTTTTCCACTCAAAACATTGGATCAATGAGCCCAGACTTAGGCCCATGATTCGTTGGGCCAGCCCGACCCCTGGACAGGCCCTTCTTCCCATTCCAAAGGGCAATAACTTGTGCACTTCCACAGCTCCACCTTCAAACCTCTCAGGTCTAAAGTTGTTGGGGTCATTCCAAATCTTGGGGTCCCTATGAACAGCCCATGTATTCACAAATACAATCGTGCTAGGTGGCACATTAAATCCTCTGATTGTGCAACTTTCTGATGACATATGTGGAAGTAACAACGGTACCGATGGATATAATCGAAAGCTCTCCAAGATGACAGCACGAAGGTAATTCAATTTAGACAAATCAGATTCATCGATCAAGCGTTCTTGGCCGACATGAGCATCAATCTCGGCTTTTGCCTTCTTCAACACCTCTGGATGGTTAACTAAAAGGGCCATCGTCCATTCCATTGCCACTGCCGTAGTGTGAGGACCCGCAAGGACCATGATCTGTGCATGAAGATTTATTAGACATAAATGAATGACAAGGTTCATAATTTACTATCGAAATGTCCAGAATGATAATTTTGGACATCCTTTAAAAACATATCCATGAGAAGAAATTACTTTCAAATTTGAACCGATTTCTCAACCAATACTTTCAACATGCTTATATTCAAGACTGTGTACTAGCCTAATAAGTCAATAATTTTAACAATATTTTATTAGTTTTATATAATAATTTTGACACCCATTTAACAAATGTTATAATTTCAAATTTAATGACTTAGCAACTAATATCAAATTTATCTTTAGTATGTCTTAATCCCTTTGAGATTACAATTAAATAAGTACTTTTCAAGAGATTAATATTTATATATTATTTAATTCAAATATTTTTTTTTACAATCTTTCAAAATATTTTTATTAATAATAAATAAAATGGTTATTAATAAAATATTAAAAATGAAAATGACATATAGAATAATTTATATTTTGAGAAAAATGCAATATGATAAATTGATAATATTACAACCATAAACAGACGAGATAGAGTAAGATGAGTACTTATACTTTCTTGTTCCAATTTATTTAGAAATTAATGGATCTAACAAAATGAGATTAATGCAATTAAATCAATGAAAAATAATTAATTGAATTACCATGATAAATGCTCTGATAGTTTCATCAGTGTAGAACTCTGGCTCTAATTGCTGCAAGGAAAGCAGACGATCAATCATGGAATTGTTGCTCTTATCGCGCCGGTGCTCATCTATCAAACCCTGCAAAAACCGATCTGTCTTCCCGTGAATTCTAGCCATAGTCTTCTCGAAATTCGCGTAATCGATCCACCGCAGAATCGGCAAATAATCGTTCAGTCCCGAGAAGAGGCTGGCGGAGAATAATTCTCTCACCAGCTCCTGGAACTCCTTGGCCTTCTCGTCGTTGTCGAATTCGTCGCCGTAGTAACGCTTCCCGACGAGTATTCTCATGACGATGTTAAAATTGAGCCCCCAAAACTTCGATTTGAGCTCAATGTTCGCGAATTCGGCAGAGGAGATCTTGTGCAGGCCTTGAAGTAGAAGTTTAATTTCTTCTCGACGAATGGAAAAGGACGAACTGAGCTGCCTCGGGGAGAAGAGTTCCACCGCCATGATTCGCCGGAGGTTGCGCCAATGGTCGCCGTAGGGGCTCGCCGAGACGTCAGTATAGTTGTAGCCGAAGTACTTGCCGCTTAAAAAGCGAGGGCGGTTGGCCAGGACTACGTCGTTTTTAGTGAAACATTCCTCCACGGCTGCCGACGTGGACACAACAACCACTAAGTGGGAGCCGAACCGGAGGGAGAAGACCGGTCCGAGTTTTTGGGCGAGTTCCTGGAGGAATCGATGCAAGGGCTTCTTCACGAGGTGGAGGTGACCGATGACTGGAAGACCCGGAGGGCTCGGAGGCAGGTTTCGTGGGCGATGAGATTTTTTGCTGGAGAAGAAGGTAAAAGCAATGACGAGAAAGACAATAGTGAGGCACGAGTATAGCAAACTTGCTTCCATGTCTGATCTGCTTGATTGGTAATGAGTGGAAGGAAGTCGCTGAGACAGTAAACCGATATAGATTAGACAAAGGATGGGCTTTGCACAGCAGTACTGAAAAGATAGTGACAGATCCGTCGTTAGCCAAGACGACGATGGACAATTCTCGAACTACAAAAGTGGAAGACGTCAGCTACGACGACAACCAGAAGACACCTGTGCATGAGCATTTGTTTTGATTTAGTTTTCGAAATTTTTTTAAGGGAAGGTATTAATTTTTTAATTTTTTAGAAAATAACCAAAAAGATGTTTCAAGATCATCCAGAACGAAAAAGACATGAAAGGTAATGGAGATTACGTTGGATAATGGAAGAAGATATGCATTGCATTTACTTGTATTATATCACTTAATATTATATTTAAAAATATCATTTAATGTTATATAAGGAGTCACATTGACGTATACTTGAACCATGCATTTATCATTCATACTTTTATGCGAAGTAATCATATTTTTTTATTAAAAACTTTTTAAGTTTTTTTCTATACTATTTTTTATCCTAAATTATCAACTGTACTTATGCACTTGAAACAAAACAACTATTATATTTATTCCTTTGAAGACTCCATATTTATATATAATTATTATTAAAATATTTAAGTGTTAAAATTTTAAAATTTTAAATTGATATATTAAATTGATAACAAATATTATTTTTATATATTAAATTAAAACACGAATAAATTTTACAAAATTAATTTAAACTATTTATATAACATAACTAAATAAAAAGTTGTCCTTAGTTCTTCAAAATTAATTTAAATTATTTTATAAAATAATTTTTATTCTTAATTTTTTGAATAATTCACGGGAAAATAGGATGCAGAATAAACTTTACGGGCACAAAATGTTCTTTTGCCTTTTTTTTATATGTTACACTTGATGTTACCCCTGACTCGCCTCGAAGCATGCTAGGGGGTTGGTGGGCCGGTAGGCCGGTTCAGATGCAATCACGCCTAGCCTGGACCACTAGGCCTGGGTCGGCTTGGCGGGCCGGCCCAGGTGGGCCGAACCCACTTGGCAAACAGGCGGATCGGGCAAGAGAAATCAAGAAACGGGTAGCAAATTCGAGTTGTCACATGTGGGGGGATTTCTGGAAGCTTCAATCAATGGAGAAGCTGCAGGGGAGCTCGCCTCACACCAGTGAGGAAGACGAGGCTTACAAAGCAGGGCAATGATACTGGAGGAGAAGGATTCGCCACCAGTGAAGTTGGATCGGAGCCTGGCGCTTGAATTTTGTACTCGGAGAGATTGATTGGGTAGAAAAGTGACTCGGGTGACTTGAATCTCAAACCAAAATCATGGAGGGCAAACCCAAAGTCTCAAATGGCCAAAACCCATTTGAAATTCGAACCACTAGTCAACCGAATTGAAGAAAAGAGCCCAATCCATGAAGATCTGAACCAAAATCACGAGTGGAGCTGTTCGGTTGGGCGAGAATTCAACAAAGCCTCCAATTAAAGATTGTATCTATCTGCAAATTAAATCCTTGGGCTAGGATTGGTTCGGCTAAAGGGATGTGACTCTAAAAAGATTGAGGAAATCTCTTTGGGTGGATTGGGGTATCTACAAAGGCCTTTATAGATCTATTAATAAGGCCAAAGACTTTGCTTTTTTGATCACCTTCAATCTGAGAGTTATTGTGAGTGATAGTGAGTGTTCCTTGTAATACTTCGATTCTATAATAATACAAGATTGGGAAGAGGGAATTCTTGAAAGCTTGCTGATGTGTGTGTTCTTCTCTTTCTCTTGGTCTCTGAGTGTGTATTTTGGGTTCATTTGGGGCTTTGTTCTGTATTCTGAAGTGGTCAACCTTCGATTATTGCCAAGTAATGGTCTGGCAGGTCGCCCCCAATCGTCAACAAACAGCAACCAAGGACCCTCCTTGTTGCAAGTACATGAAACAGATCAACTGAGCGCGTGAGTAGACCAACTGAGTGGAACACGTAAACACAAAAAATGTGGGTGGGACTCAATTACCCAAGCACGTGGGAACAAGTGCAATGGTCTAAAATGAGTCAAAACATGACATTTTGTGAGGAATAGAAAATCCAAGGCAAGGCTTATTATTTATACTGGAAAATAGGCAGTCTTCAAGTTATTAGAAAAAAAAATTAAGCTCCTACAAACTCGGTGACACACCTAATATAAAAGCCAAGGCCAAGCCGAATCCAACTCACTCAACATACTCATGGCAGACTACAACTCAACAACCAACCTTCGCGAACGAGTCCAAAAGTTGGAGGGTTGTGTGGGGCAAGCCAAGTCCCAACTAGGCCAACCAATGGGAGATGTCCACACCCCTGTCTATCAACAACTTCAAAAGATAGCCCAAGCCATTGAAGGGATACAAAAGGCGATGACAAAAATCTCCATTAAAATGGTCCAACTGCGGTCAAAGGTGAACAAGGTGAGCAGCCTTCCGATCGTGGTTGAAGATGCGGGCCAAACCATGGAGGAGATGAAAGGCATTTTGCAAGCCAAAGGACTTGTTGGAGCTGATTGAAACGATGGATGCTAAACTGTTGGCGGTTAAGCGGGCCATAGGTGACTCACAAGGCAAACACTTTGGGGTTAAGGGCTGCCAAGTCCAAGGTACATTTCTCGAACCTTAGGCATACGAAGGGGTTCGTGGTGGTGCTAAGAAGTTAACAAATTTTATTTGGAATATAGAAACATATTTTAAGGTTACTAAAATACCAAATGGGGAATTTCAATACCCACCATGTACTTGTCGATAGATGCTACGGTTGTGGGAGGACTAGACAAACAAATGACAAGAGTGCAAGTAGAGTGAAAATCTTGATGTAGGATGTACTTAAAAAAGAGCTTAAGGGATGGTTTCTTTCTAATAATGTAGATTGGCTTGCTAAGGATGCCCTTAGGAGATTGAAACACAAGGGCTCAAGTCTAATATTATGTGAAGGAGTTTAGCTTACTAATGCTGGATAAGGAGGAAATGTTATCCAAGAGGATTTTTTTTTTTTTTTTGAAAAATTTGGATTTTATTAAAGATTTTATTTTATTTTTTTAGACTAACTTTAGATTTATTTTGGATATAAAATCCAAATTTTATAATTATCTCAAGATGGCAACTTTATCCTTTTAAAGAGTTTTTATCATTTAGGAGTCTTCCATCTTGAGGACTCTTCTCATAAAAAATAGGACTAATTTTCAATTGAAAGGAGAGAAAAAAAAATATCTCCAAAAGTTCTAGGACTCAACTAGAATCTTTTTAACAAGAATAATCATTTAACAACCTATTTCAACTATCTTGAAGTAAAGAGTTGGAGACATTCCAATGATCGGGATAAATGGTGCAAGTGCAAGAGAATCAGGTTTGTGTATTGGACTCTTGATAGGTTTAGATAGGGTTTTCTGAAATCAATTGTATAAGCATTATTGACTTTTTATTGATAAAATTTTAATTTAGTTTTTTCCTATAATTATTCTAGTTGAGCTTAAATCTTTCTATTTGAGTGAATCTATTTGGCCATTGCTCGTGTTATCATTAAAAAAATTATAGAGCATATTTTGGTATAAGAGCGTCAATCCTAATTATGGCCATTCTACTAGAATTAAGAACCATCGATTGTTGACTCCTGTAAAGAAGGGGGAATGATCCAAGAGGATTTTTTTTTGAAAATTTTGGATTTTATTTAAACAATTTATTTATTTTATTTAGATTAAGTTTATATTTATTTTAGATTATCTAAAAGCTAAATTTTCATTAATTATCTCAAGAGATAACCTCATCCTTTAAAAAGTCTTTATCTTTTAAGAGTCTTACATCATTGAAGACTCTTTTCAATAAAAATGAGACTAATTTTCATTGAAATGGGAGGAAAAAAAATATCATTAAAAGTTCAAGGAGGAAGAAAAAACTTTCAAAAATTTAAGATTCAACTAGAGTTTTCCAACAAAAATCAACCATTTAACAATCGATTCTAGCCGTCCTAAGATAAAGAGTTTGAGATATTATAGCAGTCAGGTATAAATTAGTGCAAGGGAAATTGAGTTTGTAATTAGATTTTTGTTAAGATTTAGATAAGATTTTTATAAAATCAATTATATAAACATTCTTTTTATTGATAAATTATAATTCAATTTTTTCTTATAATTATTCTGGTTGAGCTTGGATTTTTCTATTCAAGTGGATCTATTTGGCCATTGCCCATGCATCAAAAAAATATTGAGCAAAATGTTCTAACGAGACAAACTTTACAACTTTCTAGTAGGTTTGCAACTATGGGCTTAGGTAGAGCTTAGGCGATTGAGTGTTAAGGACTTGCCAAGTGCAATAACTACTGTAGATAGCTTAGTGGATTACAAAGCTATGGTAGACATTGAGGAGAAGGGAACTTTGAACAATAGGCAAGGCAATATGAATCAAGGCAAGTCCAGGAAATCAAATAGTGTTGATAATAAGAAGAGAAAGGAAAAGGCACAGTTACAGTTACAGTATCTGGAAAGTCCAGAACTCAATTTACTATCAACAAAGACAAAATCTAGGGCATTTTTTTTTGTAATACAGATCACTACATGAAAGATTGTCCAAAGTGGAGAAAACTAATAGCATTGGTGGTAGAAAAGTGACAAGGAGGATGCAAACTAACTGTCTTGAATTGCTCCTTTACAGCTTCTAATTGCCATTCAGGGAGGAAAGACATTCAAAACCAATGGCTAATGTACATAAAGGCTTTGGTCAATGGCAAGGAGGTGCTCGCTCTAATAGAGACAGGAGCGACACAACTTTTTGCTAAGAGGTAGGTGAAGAATCTAGGGTTGACTCTCTTGCAAAATTCAAGCAAGGTGAAAGTCGTGAATTCAAAAGCAAAGGCGATCAAGGAACAATAGATGTGGAGCTAAAAGTTTGGAATTGGCTTGGGCAGTGTAAATTTATAGCTGTCACCCTTGATGACTCTTGATGTCATCTTGGGCAATGATTTCTTGGAAGCAACCAAGACTGCAGTATGGCCTCACTTGGGCGGGATTGTCA